TTTTTTTTTTTTTTTTTTTTTTTTTTTCTTTCACGATCGAATCTGTGAACGTATACGGTACGTATGGAAAAACACCACGTTTCGTATTCATAACGGCAAATCAGATACGCGTGACGCGCGAAAGAGCTTGACCGAAAGATTCCACGAAGGTACTGGATACCGGTGTGCATATCAACAAGCCCGTTTCCTTTGTCCTGTTGCGACGGTAGCTCCAAAATTCTCCACATCTCGCAGAGAGAATGAGAGAGGAGAGACTCGCATTCGAATATTTCAAACTTGCCAAGAATTTTGCTTCGACGAAAGATAAGATTGTTTGGAAAGAATACAGCGAGTCGAGCAACACCGAACGAATGTGGGTTTCTGACATTTTCACCCGTTCGACGACTATTCGTTTCTCGCGTCGAGAGACAGTCCTTCGAGGCCTTCGAAAACTTGTTTGAAAGCTACCGAACGATACGGTACCTTGCACTCTTGTCCCAATACCACGGGGGATCGAAAAAAAAGAAAGAAAGAAAGAAAGAAAATCTTCGATCGTTTGGTATATATTTTTCGTCGCTCCCCTTTTTCTTTTTTCTTTTCTTCTTTTTAACTGAGAATGTCGAGCCATTCCCAATCGCGAGCAATCGAACGAAGCAATCGATTCGTCACGAAAACAGGGGGGAAGGCTGGGGTGTGACCAGGTTGGAACCGTTTCCCACAAACGGAATGCGAGCACTCTCGTTCCCATAAAATCATTTTTATGCAACCAGTGCTCGGTTGCATCGATCCCCTCCCCTTCCTCGATTGGAAAACCACGATATCCCGTTATAAACGCGTTATACGTTTTCCATCATCGAGGACATCCACTTCTCCTCCTAGAGAAGGATCGTAAAGATACCTCCCACACCGAAATCATAACCTAATAACTTTTCCTCCCTGAAAGAAGGGGAAGAATTGGAGAAGAAAGTATTTTTTCCTTTTTTTTTCTTCGTTCGACGACGAGTTACACGAGACATATTCGTCCGATTCGAGAGGTTTTCTCGTCCATCCACCGACCTTGAACCGGTTTGATTTAATTAGAGGTTGCTCGTCGTGTAAAGATCCGCCGATAATTCAAGTTCATTAACGAGATGCCGTTACGGGTGAAGGAGGGAGGGGAGGAAGAGAAAGAAAAAGGGAAAAAAGACGGCAAGATGGATGGTATATTGGACGTGAAATAATAAACGCGATCCGGTTAACGATCTCTCAGCAAAATCAACGACGATAATAATTCACAAACTGTGCACAGGAAAACGATCGATGAACAGCCTTGATCCGCTTGAAAACAATTGCCCAACCAAACGCGTTCACCTGTACCGCGACACGAAATTGCAACACAAACTAGGACCGAGCTCCTCTCCCGCTGCTCTTCTCATGCGCGGGTTTTGCAACGCCGACGCTTCTTCTTCTTCTTCTTCTTCTCCTCCTCTCGGCTTGCGCAACGCCCGTGCGGATGCGTACCTTTGATTATTTACCATCCAACCTGTGCCTTGCCACAACTCTCGACTCGAACTTTTCCACTTTTCGTCCATCTCCATTTTCGATCCTTCGATTATTCGTGTCCAAGCTTGGAAAAAGAAAAGATGGACCGGTTTCATTTCCGTCCACAATTTCCAGGAATCCTGTTGGCCAATGCGATTTCGGCCGAACGTAAGGCTACCAGGCCGAAATTCAAGATCGCCACTACGTCGACGACCACCACAACAACCACCACAACCGAAGAGAACCAGAGGAACGAGAACGAAGATGCGGAGGTATAATATTTAATTTTCAATAATTGATCTTCGAGATCGCCTCGGTTCGGGAGATGATGCAACTTGACGATACGATCATCAGCTTGCAATACGTATATAAACATAGAATTATATACAATATTTCCCTCTTCTTTCTCAGCTTAAGCTTTTTAGATCGTATCGAAATTAATCAACATCCATCCATCTTATAACTATACACGCTATACGCATATAACAAGTTTACCTTCGCATAGAAGCTATAGAAACATCGTGACATCATCGAACGAAGCTAGCTCATCTCGACCTATTACCCGGGATGGTAGTGGTAAACTTGGCTTGGAATCCAAACGAATCGATTCTTTTCTACTCTTTTCTTTCTTTTCTTTGTTCTTCTTCAATTCTTCTCGATCGCACAGGCGACCACGGCGGTGGCTACCGGGGAGACGAACGCGACCAGCGGCCACGTCCTCACAGGCATCCCGCAGATCGACTACATCTGGGACCCGAATTTGCCCCGCGAGTTGAACGGCTACAATCTCAGCGATTACCCGTTCTACAACAGCATACCGGAGGACATCGACTTCAAATGCGACGGCCTCCATGATGGATTTTACGCGAGCGTGCCGCACAAATGCCAGGTGAGAAGAAGAAATATATATATATATATATGTATTCGTAATTATTCCACCGGTTGACGAACGTATCGATTGCTTAGTTATTCTTGGCGATGAAAATTGGTAGACTTTCTCTTTCTTTAAATAACGCATCGAAGGATACCGTCCGCTTAAAGATGCCTTTAATGTTTCCAAGAGAGACGCTCGCGCTCTTTTTCTATATATATATATATATATATATACATGTATATACATATATACGTTTTGCATTCACGACAGTCGGTCCGCATAATTAAGCAAAAATTTATTCCTACTCGTGTCTCTTCGTTTCGAGAGACCTTCGAGCGAAATAAATAAATAAAAAAAAAAAATCTGAAGAGATCGTCGCGCGAAAAGTTAAGAAAATGAAGGAAAGGAGAGGAGAAGAAGAAACTACGAGTTTAAGGACGAACGGATCCGTGTGGGAAAGCGCTTGTTCCCGACACGTGGATACACGGTGATCACGACTCGAACCTTTTTTAGAATCGATCTAATAAGGCCCAGTTTCTCGAGGTAATTCAGTCAGCCATTCTCTGCTCGTCGCCGATTTCGCGTAACAAATAAATAAATAAGTCCACTCTTTTTCTTTTTTTTTCTGTCACAAAGGAAGAAACGAAACACGAGAGAGTAAAAGCGGGTATTCAGCATGAAAAGGAAAGTCAGTGTCATCTGGACGAGTGCCCGAGGAAAGATTTTCTTATCGAGCGATCGACCATCCGTAAACGCTCTCCATCTTCGACGGGAGGAGATGCAAATTTTCTTTCGATTCGATTTGGAAGTGGAGGAAAAAGGGGACGAGAGGAAAAGAAAAGAACTCGAGAGTTTTTCGCGGTCCGATACGCTTCCCGTCCCTGACCGTTCCAAGATTCACGATCCTGGGATTGTGAAAGCGATTGCAAAGTATCCCTTTCCGACGTTTTCTTATCGATTGTTTCAGCCACCGAACGAATGGGCCATTGTTATGCAAATCTCGAGGTGGATTCGCCTCGCTCGGCCCCGGTGTGGAGCAACGATCCGCCCGTAGCCGGATAACCAACCGTAAGAAAATGACGTGGCGGAGGAGCGAAAATTTATCGCGAAAAAAAAAGAAGAAAGAACTTGGAAAGATCGGAATCTCGAGCGGAAACGTTTCGCGAATTCGAAACGCGGGTTCATCGAGCTCCAAGTAATTCCGTTTGTTTTCACGATTCAGCTGAAAACTCGTGACCAACCAACGAGTACGTTTGACATTTACCTTTAGCAAAGTTGAGCAATAGGATCCCGATCCATCGAGAATCCTCCGTCGGTTCGAAAGAGGGACGCGATTTTTCCAACGAGTTATTCGCGAATTGTTGTCGTGTAGGCTTCCTGCAATTTAGAACAGAAAACTTTCCAATAAAATTAGCAAGCGTGGTGAAACTTGGGACACGAAATGGATAAAGATTGGATTAAAAATTAAAAGGGACGAGCTAAGGATCGTTCGGAAGGGAAAAGAAAAATGATTTCCAGAAACGAAATCGTGCGAGCGAGGACGTGCTCAGAATAATTCTAGAAGGATTCCTGCGGATAATCCGAGCGGAACATACGTGCCCCAGACAATCGTGGATACTTTTAGAGGAGAAATGTGTAATCCACGTTCGCGTGATCTCCTACCAATTACTCGTGAAAGCTAGTAAACTCGGGCTAGCCGAGCGAAAAGTATGCCAAAAGGAGTTATTTATTTACACAAATTCGTCCCCTAAAAATTTATCGACGTATAATCTAAACTCTACTCTTTTTCCATCCCAAGGTGTATCACCACTGCCTTTTCGGCACCCGATACGACTTCCTCTGCGCCAACTTCACTGCTTTCGACCAAAAGACCTTCATCTGCCACTTCGTGTCCGAGGTGGATTGCGCCAATTCGAGGAAGTACTGGCACAGGAACGACGCCCTCTACAAAGCGACCACGACTTCCACCACGTCCACGACCTCGACGACCACAACCACCACCAGCACGACCGCGTTTCCGCCGGTCACAGCCGCGATCGGCGGCCGCCAATCGTCCAGAGACCTTCCCAGGAGGAGGAGACCGTTCAGGAGGCGGCCGCCCGTGTACGATTACTACGACGAGGAGTACTACGACGACGATTACACCCGGCCACGAGGTGGGTACGGCAGGGACGAGTACGATTACGACGATCGAAAGTACAGGACAAGGGATCGCGAGTTCGTGAGGGATCGCGAGTTTCGAGACTCGCCTAGGTCCAGGGAGGGCGGCGTCCCCCCCAGGGACGAGAGGGATCGATACCCGGCCAGGAACAACAGGAGGGAGCCTGGGAGGAGAGATCCTTTGGAGGAGGATTCGAGGGTAAGGTCGAGGGATCCCGACCAGGGATCGAGGTCCTCCGTGTCTAGGGAGGTCGAGGACGCGGAGTTGGACGAGAGACGAATCGATTCCAGGCTCAGGGACGATGATCGTCGCTATTCCGATAAAAGGTAACGTTCTTCTATATTCCTTTTTTCTTTTTGCTCGATCGAGAGATTCGATGACGTGAATTTTGTTTCTACAGGTATAGAGACGATTACGAGGACAAGGATCCCGTCTCGGCGGGAGGGGGAAGCTCGGACGGGTTGGTGAAACCCGCCGCACCCGCAACCTCGCTCTACGCGAGACCAAGAACGCCGCCCAAGATTCGTAGACCGGTCCCCCTCTCCGAGCAGGATAAATACGCTTACAAAACCACGGCCGTGCAATCGACTGGTATTCGATCTTTTGTTTGTTAACCCTTTGCGCTCCAGGTCGAACTCAGACCTTCGGTGGCTTCATGAGATTACCATAAGATAATTACTCGTAAGATAAGATTACATCTTGTAAAATTATATGAAAAAGAGCTTAGGAAGCTATTTATGAGGCGATATTCTAAGAAAATCAAATATAAATAAATATTGTCGCCGCAATCCCAGTGCCGCTGGAGTTACGGCATTAAGTCAAGTGGTGATCGAGAGTTGGAGAGCAAAGGGGTAACGCCATTATACGATTTCATGCGATAACTCGAGAGTGGTGATTCTAAGATCATTTGGATCGATGCGAACGGCGACGATATGTTTATGTTTGATTTTTTTAAAATATCGCTTCATTCAATAAATTCCTAAGCTCTTTATGATCTTAGAGCGTGGAATGATGTACTATCGAATGGTATTTTTATCTCTAAATTGGGTCGTGATGGCGGATCGAAATACATTTTAGACGCTAGAATTCGTGTTCGACAGTCGTGGGAATAGAAATATTATTTTCAAAGTTGTGTTGAGTTTTAAGTTATTTTGGAATACGGTAATGAAATTAGTTGGAGACGAGTTTGGTTTTTTCGTTTTATTAATTAAATTATTTTTGTTCATTAAGAAATTGGAAATAGAGATGTAGTAAGAGAAGGTGAAAAATAAGAATAATAGATAATGAACGCGTTATTGGGATATTAGTTCAAGATAAATTTTTTATTAATTAAGAAATTGACGATAGAGAGAAGGAAAATAGCGATGAAGACGAGTTTGATTTTCTCGTTTTATTAAGTAAATTATTTTTGTTCATTAAGAAATTGAAAATAGAATGTAGTAAGAGAAGGTGAAAAATAAGGATAATAAATAATGAATGTGAGAACGCGTTATTGGGATATTAATTCAAGTTAAATTTTTTGTTATTAATTAAGAAATTGACGATAGAGAGAAAATAGCGATGAAAGTAAAGATGTAGTATAAGAAGATGAAAAATAAGAATAGTAGATAATGAATGTGAGAACGCGTTATTGGGATATTAATTCAAGATGAGTTTTATTAATTAAAAAATTGACGATAGAGAGAAGGAAAATAGCGATGAAAATACGATAAATAAAAAATAAGAATAATAGAATGTGAGAGCACTTATTGGAATCGTAAGGTTGCTCTTAATAAAATAAAAAAGTGAAGACATCGCGATTGCAAACCGAGAACCCATCTTGCCAATTACGTTATTATTAAAATATCGCGCAAAACAACGATATACTATATAATCTCCGACAAATTTTCTTTCTACGTAAACACACGTAAAATATTACAATATAAAAGTTTCGCACGTTAATTCGCTTGTGAAATCATTTCAAGTTGGCTGTAAGAAATTCACCGAACGGAATTCGAGTGAAAAAGACCTGGAGCGCAAATTAATAAAATGAGAGACAACGCGATAACGACTCTTCTGTTTTACAGAGGAACCCCGAAGAAGACCGGTGGACATCGCGGAGGACGACTATTACGAGGACGAGTTGGAGGACGTAAGACCTATTCGAAGGCCGTTGAGAAGAAGGCCGTCGTCGTACAGAGACAGGGACAGGGATTTCTACGATACGATAGAGAGAGACAGAGGCCGACCCTTCAGGTAAGGTAACGTACGCACGTATGCACGATTCTATTGCTCCCCACGTGACCGATCTAACCTCGATCTCCGATTTTCTTTCATTTCTTTTCGCCCAGATCGCGATATCGGGACGACGAGGACGAGTTGCGGCCGAGGAAACACCCGGATCGGTCGAGAGATCGGTACTACGATCGAGACAGGGATCGAGGTAGAGATCGTTCCCTCCTCGATCGTGGAAAGGATCGAGGGAGAGGGCAGGAAGCGGGCGAGAAGCAGGAAAGGGCCGGCCCCGATCGTTCGAGATCGAAAGACACGAGATCGAAGGATCCGCAGGAGGCC